CCGGCACCTGATGATGACTTTGGGGAAGATGTCAAGGAACTCTTGGTGGTAGAAGATGCGGCCTGACAGCATGTGGTTGGTGTTGAGGGATTTGAAGCAGTGAGTAGATTGGATTGAACGCGAGCAAAATGTCACAAAGACATCATGCACACACATACATACACACGCACACATGGACTCACGGACGCACACAGACAGACAGACAGACAGACAGACAGACAGACAGACAGACAGACAGACACACACACACACACACACACGTCAGCAGTCAGACAGCACAGGATGGGGCCGCACTTGTCATGCTGCTTGCAAAGTCGCGTTGGTCCTGATTCGGAGATGAGGCAAGCAGTTGGATGTACATGAGCACCTCGTGGAACGCGCGGATGGCAAAGTGGAGCCGGCGCCCCCACAGCTGCCCGTCCACCGGGTACTGCTGCAGGCCCTGGTAGTACTCCTGCACAAACGACTGGATGTGGTCAATTGTCTGCTGCCCAAGACACGCGCTGGCGACGGGAGAAGACGAGGGGGAGACGGAGGGTGTGGTGCAGAGGGTACGGGAGAGTACGAGTGTGTGCGAATGAGTGGGCGAATGAGTGAGCGAATGCGTGAGTGCGCGTATGTGCGTGAGTGCGTGTGCGTGCATGTGTGTATGTGTCTGTGCGTGCGCGTATGTGCGCGCATGTATGTGTGTGTGTGTGTGTGTGTTTGTGGTGGTTGTACCAGCACGCGCGTGCGTGTTGTACGCTCGGTGAGCAAAGCAGTGGGTGCAGTGACGGGTGCGCGACAACTGCCAACACAACGACGCACCCAACGACGCTGACGGCGTAACCCTCTTCCTCGGAGATGGGAACACCATCGCGCTTCTTCTTCTGCAGGACCGTCTCCAGCTGCAGGCGATGGAACTCCATGAACAGTCTGCAGTGGCAGGTGGCGCGAGGGGTGCGGGATGGGTCAATGAATGACAGCAAGCGGCACCGAAAGAGACGAGGGAACGAGGCAGACGCGCAGATGAACAGAAAGAAAGAACGAAAGACAGGCAAACAAGCTTCCACATCTTGGCACGCGTGCGAACATGAACACATACATACGCTCACACGTACATGCACACATTCGCACGCGTGCGAGCATGAACACATGCATACGTTCACAAATACGTGCACACATGTCCACATGCACACAAAGCAACTCCACCTTCCACATAGACACAGTTGCGCAAGATGCTTCACCCACCTGATAAACTGGAGATAGTGCTTGCGGTCAGCGTGAATGAGTTCAAGGTCCTTCATCTCCATGCGTCGCAGCTCGTCCTCCACCAGCGGGATCACGCTGTTGAAGCAGTCTCGCACCACAGACACCGCGTGCTTGTACAGACACACGCGCACTGCCAGCGGGGACGTGTGCTTGCTCACTGCCTCTGCATCGACAATGGGTTTGCGCGCACGATGCGTCTTTCCTTCCTCGGAGATCTTCTCAGCGCGCCTCAGCACCGCAGAGGACACCACGCGCGTGCTTGTTGCTGCGCCGGCGACAGACTGCAGCTCAAAGGACCCGCCAAATCGCGTGTGCCGCGATCCGTACTGTCGTGTTCGCGTCTTCTTCTTCGCTGGTCGCCGCGCGTGTGTGCGGGTGGTGCCGCGTGGTGCTGCTGCAGGCCGAACGTTGGCTGCCATCGTGTTTGCACTGCTGTCATCATCGGTGTGCTCTGTGCTGGCGTGCGTCTTTGTTTCGTACACACACGAGTAGAGCGACTCGGCCGTCTGTTCGCGGTACAGCAGCATCAGGATCTCGAGCACAATCATCTTGAACGAATAGTACTGCAGTTTGCGGCAAAGGCGAGAGGGAGAGCGAGAGAGAGAGAGAGTGTGTGTGTGTGGTGGAAATGAGGGAGTTGGGGAGTATGCGAGCAGGCGTGCGATGGGAAATGGGAGACTGGCAATGCAGTGGCAAAAAAACACACATGTACATACACACACGCAGACACACACACACACACACACACACACACACACACACACACAGACACACACAGACACGTGTGTGTCAATTGGCAGCAACAGCAGCAGCAACAGCAACAGCAACAGCAGCAGCAGCACCTCTGTGATGTCGTGGCACATGCTCATGACGACATCGATGATGCCGCTCTCCTCCATGGCGCGGACAGCGCGGTCGTGCAGCGTCTCGGACCCGCCCGCGCTCTGGTGGTGGTGGTGGTGATGTACATGGTGGTGGTGGTGGTGGTGTTCAATGGGGGTGGTGAGAAGGAGGGTGCCTACACGCGCACACTGCCAAGTGAATAAGCAAACAAACAAAAGCACACACGCACGCACACACACACAATCACACAGGGCGGGAACGCACTGGTGGGTTTGGGGCGTGGAGGATGTTGCGAATGAGGGTGAGGATGAGCTCAATCATTGCGTTGTCCTGATCTGTCCTGTCCTCGGCCGTCAGCGGCTCATACAACAGCTGCAACAGCGCCCGCAGCGGCGCTACGTGTGCGAAACACGCGGTTGGCAGTGGCAAGCATGACATGTGAGCACGTGGTCATGCAAGTGCGTGTGTGAGTGCTCGTGTCTACATGTGTATGTGAACATGCGCAAAGTCGAGAGCACACAAGGAAAGAACTGAGCTGGGACGCGTGTAGCACTTGCTGCAGCGACAACAGCCACACGATACACACTGTGGCGTGTGCGTGTACCGTAGCAGTGGTAGCGAGCTGGTTGGCCCTCCTCCCGCTCCTCGGCGGTGGCCGTCATCTCATAGCTCTGCACAAATGCGTCCTTGTACTTTGTCAGGTACTCGTTCACCTGCGTGTACGCCAGCGTCTTCTCCAATCCAGCTGCAGGGTTGGGCGCGTTCAAGGAAGTGTGTGCGGGCGTGTATGTGTGCGTGTGTGTGTGCGTGCGTGTGCGTGTGCGTGTGCGTGTGTGTACGTGAGCACATGTGTGTTAGCAACGTTGCGCACTTCAGGGTGCATGAGGAGCAAAGAGCAAGTACTGCCACGTACCGAGGCTTTGGCCTTGTGTTTCGTATTGGAACACAATGTAAGCTGGTAGCGTCATTGCCGTCATGACTCTGGCGAGACCGTTGACGAGATCAGGTGGTGATCAGGTGGTGATCCGCTGGTGAGTGGATGGTTGGCAGTTTGTGGACAGGTGGCGAATCGGTGCATCAACCGCGCCCACGAGCACCTACCCACCCACCCACACAAACACACACACACACACATGCATACACGCGTGTAAAAGGTGCTCAACCTGCACAAGGTAGCGCACGGGATAAACGTACCTGAGCAGGGTGACCATCAGCTGCTTCTCGTTCTCGTCTGAAGCGTACTGGATCAGCAGCAGCATCAAGTCCTGCAAGCAGCAAATCAGCCGTGCATGCGAGAGTCGAGAGTCAAGCGTGACGTGAGTGAAAAGCAGGCTGTTGTAAACGTGATCAACCACACACACATTACACACACATGCGCGCGCACACACACACACATCTGCATACCTTTTGCAGAAACTCAAACTGGCCGAGCTGGCGGAGCACTGGTCGCTCGCTGTTGCGCACGTCGATGCGCAAGTTTCGCATGATGTCCTTCAACACCTCTGCAGCGTGCACAAGCAAAACGGTGAACGACACGCTGTGTTGAAAGATGATCCCTCCTCATCTCAAACATCCACAAACATCCACACACAGACACACAGACACACACAGACACACGCAGACACACAGACACACACAGACACACGCAGACACACACACAGACACACAGGCACACACACAGACACAGACACAGACACAAAGATACAGACACAGAGATACAAATGCACTGCCAATGGCGCCAACACAAGGACTGCAAGACAACACAAGGACTCTGCACGCGAACAACACGTCCACTCGCACATCAATTGTATCACCATGGCATTCTGCGCCTTTGCGGTACACGTCCGGTGTTGTTTCATCCACATCGCGCAACCCAAGTGCAGAGCACAGCTGAAGCAGGGCGTCCGCCCACTCCAGCGTGTCTCCCATCCTGCTGCTGTGGTGTGGTTGGTTGGCGGCAGTGTGCGCTCTCGCAGTCGTCTGTCTCCTCGCTCGTCCGCGTTGTCTGTTGTGTTTGAGTTTTGGCGCGCAGGGCGCAAGATTTATTGTGGATGAGTTCGTATGTATTTCTGCAATTCAAGGCAGACGATTTTTCGCTTAAATTTTCAGCTGATTACCGTGGTTGAAATTGAGGCGGGAAATTCGAAGCCTCGAAGTGGACGAAAGGGTGCGTTGTGGTTTTGGTGGCGCAAGGTGTGCCAGCGACGGCAGTGGGAGAGTGGCAACCACCACGCCAGCTTGCCCCAAGCCGGAAGCGGCGCTGTTCAAAGATCACTGTTCTTTGTCGTGCCCCTTTGCTTTGCTGTTGTGCTTTTGGTGTTTTTCCTTGGTTCCATGTGCACTCAAGCAGCGGTTGTGATGTGACCGTGCGGGTCTCCGTGTGCGTGGCAGTGCAACCACCGCCATCACTCGCCCACACAACTCACGCTCTCGGTTGCTTTCATAGGCGGAACTTGCTCCTGCACCGGGACGGTGCAAAGAACTACCAAAGCCACACACACACACGCACGACGTGACGAAGGCAAGTTTCAATTACAGCCGCACACACCCCTGGCGTCACGCGCGCGGCCACACACGCACCACACACAGACGCACACACACGCACCACACGCACACACACACGCACAGACAAAGAGTTGGTTGGGTGTGCGTGTGTTTCACTTCCCCATTGCCAGTGCCACTGCGCAGCTGACAACAAAACAAAACAACAGCAACTGCACCAACACCGTCAACAAGCTGTCGTTGTAGCGTCGCTCGTGTTGCTTCGGGATTGCTCTAGGCTTGCTCCTCACATAGCTACATTTCGCCAACCCCCCACGCACACGCACACACACACGCGCGCGCGCACTTCACCATCTCATATCACATATCCATTCACCATCCAAACAATTCCTTGTGTGTGTTTGCTCTCGGCCAATTCATTTCACAACATCCGCTCCACTCTATTGTATTGCGGGCGCGGTGTCTTTGATCGTTCCATGCACACCATCTTCATCAACTTCTGGTCACCATGATGTCGTCCTTTCTACGTAGGTTGCATGTTTAGTGTTGTGTGTGTTGCGATGTTGTGTGTGTGCAGTACTGTGTGTGTTGCGATGTTGTGTGGTGTTGTGTGTATTATGTGTGTATGTATGTTTCAGTGTTGTGCGTGAGTGTGTGCGAGTGTGTTGTGTATGTATGTGTGTATGTTGCGGAGTTGTGCATGCCATCACCATCAACATCAACAAAAGCATCTACATCAGCTCGCTGACACACACACACACACATACACACACACACACCTCAACTCAACTGATAAACACCCTCGTCGTGCGCGGCTCACATCAAGCAGCAGACCTCGAGTTGGGAGAATCCCTCGACGAGCTCTCCCACTATCTCTCTCGGTGAGTTCATGCAGCAAGTCCCCCTCCACACACGCACACACACTCTCTCCCTCTCACTCACTCACTCACTCACTCACTCTTGTTGTCTCTCACTCACTCTTGTTGTCTCTCCCACCCACCCACTCAATCATTCACACACACACACACACACACACACACACACACACACACACACACACACACACACACACACACACACACAAAACACCATCGCACCTCACCGGCCGCTGTAATCATAACCATCACAGGGGCAACACGATCGCGCTGGCGGACATGAACCGCGACTTCAACGAAGGCATTGACCCCATCCCGCCACTCGACCGCGCCACCCTCGGCGTGCCGCACTCATCACCATCTGCATCGTCATCGGAGGGCGTCACCTCTGCCAGCCGCCGCAGCATGCGCCGGTCAAAGCGCACCGCACATCGCCAGCACCAGCACCACCAGCACCAACAGGAGGAGCACGGGGTGCACGTATTCCAGCACCCACTGAGGCAGCAGGAGCACCGGGCGACCATGCACGGCTTGCAGTTTGAACACGAGCAGCAGCAGCAGCACATGTACGCAGCAGACGATGCGGTGTGCTCCATACCACCGCCACCACAACCGCCGTCTTCGCTGTCTGCAGCGGCCGCGACCACGCGTCACGGCAGCGAGCGGTCGCCCGTCTCCGGCCCACAGACATCAAACACCACACCAGAGGCGCTGAGCATGACGCCTACTGCTCTTGACTCGACCAGACAGCAGCAGCAGCAGCAGCAGCAGCAGCAGCAGCAGGAACAGCAGGACCAGCAGGAACAGCAGGACCAGCAGGAACAGCAAGAACAGGACCAGCAGCACAGGTATCAGTACACGCCCCGCATGACCACCCCGCACAGCAGCGCAACGACCTCGGCCCGGACGCGTGAGGCCTCAGGCTCGTTTGCAGCAGATACCGTATTCACTTTTGCAGATATCCCTGATTCACACCATCGCCATCCCCATTACCACGACAACAGCAGCGATCACGAGGGCCGTCCGCAAGTTCGCCAACAGCGGCAGGCGCCGTCCCGCGCAGCACGCCGCATCTTCGCTGGCGGTGATGACGACGGCAGCAGCAGAAACAGCAACGACCGGCACGATGTTGATGTTGGTATTGACGATGATGATGATGACGATGTTGGTGATAACGACAGCGACAACAGCAGCAGCGGCAGCAGCCACCGGCAGCACCTGTCGAGCCACGGTCTTGCCCTCGAGCCCCTGCCCATGTTCCACAGCCCAACGCTCCCCTCCGCCTCGTCGCCACCGGCCAGCGCCACCGTGAAGCAGGAGGTGGTGTCGCGCCCCCACACGCCATCCCGTCAGCGCATCACGGCACAGGGCGCACACGACGGCGCACGCCGACAGCAGCAGCAGCAGCAGCAGCACGGGTCATCCTCGTCACCATATCCAGTGGGTGGCGCTGTGCTGTACAGTCCTCTCACCCGCCCCTCTGGTCGCAGCAGCGGCGGCGGCGATGGCCGCGACACACCGGGCACCGAGATGGCAGCCAAGCGCTCCAAGCACGCAACAGGTGTGTGTGTGTGTATTTTCGTGTGTATGTGTGTGTGTGATTTGTGTGTGTGTGTGTGTGTGTGTTCTCATGCGTGCCTTCCTCTCTTTCCCCTCAAGCGTCGTCTGGTGGGCTTTTATGCAAAGGTGCCTCGTCTCACCACCACCACCACCACCACCATCACCAACCACGCGCTCACTGTGATGATTGTGCAGATCCACTGACGTCCTCGCCGAGCACGCGCGTGTCTGTGTCGTCGACCACCCCACACGACGTGTTCTCCGGCCAGCCGCCCAAGGTGGAGTGGTTTGTCAACGACAGCGAGACATGGCATCGCGTGTTTGACGCGAACATGAACGACCTCACCCCACCCGGTTTCCGCGTGGAGATGGACAAGGGCGTGCGCCGGTCTGCTGCAGACAACAGCTTCATCTGCCAGAAGAAGAACCACTTCCAGACCACCATCGCCGTCAAGATGGCCGGCGTTCCCGCGTTTGTCGCCACCAAGCACGGCATGATGAAGGTGGACGGCACGTACATCAACATGTACGGCATCAAGGTTGAGTCGCCAAACACCAAGGTGTCGCTCGAGCAGTCACAGTCCGACCGCACCAAGCGGCCCTTCAACCCCGTTGCCGTCCCAATCAAGCCAAACCAAGTCACAAAGAAGACGGTGTGTGTGCGTGTATGTGTGTGCGTGTGTGTGTTTGTGTTTGCGTGTTTGCATCGAGTTTCATCGATTGCTTCATCGATTGCTTCACGTTGCTTCACGTTGCTTCGTGTTGCATCGGTTGAGAGATCGTACGCCAGCGCAACAAGTGCATCTCCCTCATCGTTTTTCCCTCCCTCTTCAACACCACCGCCATCAGGTGCCGCGTCTGCACTTCTCCGAGACGACTGCCAACAACATGCGCAAGAAGGGGAAGCCGAACCCCGACCAGCGCTACTTCTCGCTCGTCGTCACGCTCGCTGCTCGCGTTGGCGCCGACCTCTACACCATTGCCTCGCACCGCTCCCAGCATCTCATCGTGCGCGCCTCAAACCCAGGACACTTTGAAACAGAGCCAAACACGGTGTGTTTTGTGTTTTGTGTTTTGTGTTTGTGTTTTGTGTTTGTGTGTTGTGTGTTTTGTGTTGTGTGTTGAGTGCTGAGTGCTGCGTTTGTTGTGTGTGGATTGGGTAGCAAGCCATCCCCGCATTCACGCCTTGCACTGCTGACCTCATCTTCCTACATGCCCCACTTGATCATCTGCATCGTCAACAGCACTGGTCCAGGGGTCAGACCCTCAACTCCGTCTACCACAACGGCGCTGTTGGCATCAACATCGACAGCCCCGATGAGGCCCTCTGTGTTCGCGGCAATCTCAGGTGCGACGTGCTGTTTTTAACTTGTTGTTCAAGTTGTTGGTGTTTAAGTTGTTGTTGTTTAAGTTGTTTAAGTCGTTGTTTAAGTTGTTTAAGTTGTTGTTGTTGTTGTTGTTGTTGTTGTTTAAGTTGTTTAAGTTGTTGTTGTGTAAGTAGTTGTTGGTTAAGTTGTTGTTGTGTAAGTAGTTGTTGTTTAAGTTGTTGTTGTTTAAGTTGTTGTTGTGGCGGTATCGTTGATGTAGCGAGTACTGTTAGTGCAATGTGGAGCTCACTAAAGCTCACACAAACATACACATGAACACACCCGCACAACCACACACATGTGCCCGCCATCAGGCTGTCTGGTGCTATCTATCAGCCCAGCGACCGCCGCATCAAACGAAACATTTCAGTCCGCGATGCAAGGGCGAGCCTTGATGCAATTCGACGCGTGCGCATGTACGACTACAAATTGCACGAGCAATATGCAAAAGACAACGACCGCGACGCTGAGGAGGTTCACGTTGGTCCACTCGCCCAGGAGCTGCGGACGGTGCTGCCGACGGCGGTGAAGGAGACGACGACTATGACGCTGTCTGACGGCACGACGATTGAAGACTTTCTCATCATTGACAAGGAGCGGCTGTTCATGGAGGCCGTGGCCGCCGTTCAAGCCCTCGCCCAGCACACGGTACGGTGATGTGTGTGTGTTTGTGTGTTTGTGTGTTTGTGTGTTCGGTGTGTAGTTATGTGTGCTGCTGGGTGTATGTTCTTATGTGATGAGGTACGACAATTCCCACGCGAACAGCGTTGATCGCCAGTCACACTCACCACCACCACAACCACAACCACAACCACCGCGACACATCCCATGGGCGCATGTGCAGGACGGGCTTGAGCGTCGCCTGCAGGATCTCGAGACGAAGTTGTCCACGGCACCACCGCGGGTGTCCCCGTGTCTGTCGTGGGCGGCGGTTGGTGCGGGCGTCGCCGCTGCTGCGGGGCTCTTTGCAGTGGCCTTCCGCCCCCGCTAAACAAACAACCCAACCAACAAACAATCACACTAACAACGACAGCAACGACCACCAGCACACACATATTTGCACTGCACCCTGGCAACCACGGTGCTCGCAGTAGAAAGGCGGTCTTGTGCACGTCGCGCTCGCTCTCTCAATCTTTATTTGTTCCAACTTGATGTCCTGGTTTCAACCAGTCAGCACGCTGGTGCTCTGCAGTTTTGTTTTGTTGGCGAGAGACACGTCTCGTGGTGTGTCGTTGTCAGTGTTGAGGTCTTGCTTGCGTGCATGCACCACATGCATCTGCCCATGTGTGTCTGTGTGTGTGTGTGTGTGTCAGGTGAAGCCCCTTCTTCCAGTGCGACTGCTTCCTGTCTTTCCTGTGCCTTTGCGTGTTCCGTTGCTTTCGTCTCTGAATGCCCTGTTATTGAGTGGTTAATTGCCTGCTTCAAGCGTAGCTGTTTGGGAGCAAGGGATGTTTGCACACTTCCTCTTGCCTCTTTTTCTTTTCTGGTCAGTAATTGGCCCTTCCCTTCCCCTGATTTCCTTCCTTCCTTCTTTCCTTCAGTCATCATTTGTAATGAAACCAACAGCTCTGACCGTCACATCACCACATCACAATCACAACAGCATTAACGACAGGGTGCACATGGCGCGCTTGTTGTGTGTTTGTTGCGCGTGTGCAATCGGGGGTGTGCTCACACAATCGTCTCCAGCTCCTTTGCATACGTGAGCGTGCGGTCAATGATCTGCGTGTGTGTTTTGTATGTGTGTATGTGTGTATGTGTGTATGTGTGTGTGAGTGTGTGAGTGAGTGAGTGTGTGAGTGAGTGTGTGAGTGTGCGTGCGTGTATGAGTGTGTATGAGTGAGTGAGTGAGAGAGTGTGTGTGGGAGTGTGAGTGTGTGTGAGTGTGTGTGTGTGTATGAGTGTGTTTGGTGCTTCTGTGATGCAAGAATCAATACAACAAGGCCCAAGACAACAGGCGGTTGCAGGAGCTATGCGTACGGTGTTTGTTTGCAGGCCCGTTGTCGTCTCATGCATGTGTGGAAAGTGCACCGTGTCGCCCTGCACGTCCCAGTCGGGGTGCTGCGACGAGAGAGGGAGAGAGAGGACAGGGAGCACAGGGTTAATTGCGAATGACATGCTGCGAGGCGTCAAGGATACAGAGCGTGAGCGAACGGACAGACACAGACACAGGCACACAGACACACAGACACACAGACACACACACATGCAGACACACAGACACACACACAGATACCACCACCACTGGCTTTACGCGAAAATGCACACACCGCCTTGATGATGGTGTCAATCTCTGCGTCGGACGGGGTGTACAGGAGCGACTTGAGCTCCTCCAGCTTCAGCGAATCGTACGCAGACTCGCAGCACGACGCAATCTCATGCCTGCAGGCAACCACAAGCCCGCATGGTTTAGCGGTGGGGGCGAGGCAGGTTGTGTGTGTGTGTGTGTATGTGTGTGTGCCTGCCTGTATGTCTGTACTGCGCATCGCGAACACGATGACACTACAATGTAGCAACGGCAACACCTAAATTAAACCCGGCACACAACACACACACACACGCTCACAGATGGCTACCTGATGGTGCCCATGAGTTTGTGGAGGAAGAGGTTGTATGACTGGGACGGCGCGCTCTCCTGTGCGAGGTGCACCTTGTTGTACGAGCCCTCCATCAAGTACTGGCAGCAAGCGACAACAAAAGGAAGCGCACGACAGCACGTGAGCGTGTGTGAGCGTGTGTGAGCGTGCGTGCGTGCGTGTGTGTGTGTGTGTGTGTGTAGCAGCGACTGTAGGCACGGCGTACCTGCTCCAGCTCCACGGGGTGGCGGATGTATGTGTTCTCTTGGATGAGCGTTGTGTCCAACCGCTCAAGCGCCTGACACACACACACACACACACACACACACACACACACACACAGAGCAGCGCATAAAAAAAAACGGCACAACGCAGGGTGCATCGTGAACGCAGACCAAAGGCGTGTGTATGTGCTCGTACAGAGGCAGATCACGGCAGCAGAACCACCGTGGCATCGATCTGTCTGTCTTGCCAGAAGTAGACACTGCACGACTCGTGCCAGCGTTGTTGCTGCTCGCCTACCGTGTGAAAGTCGGCGATGCGGTTCTGGGAGAGGAGATGCATGAGGTCCAGGCCAAGGAGCTCGTACATGAACGACGACTCCGGCATCTTGGATCTGATGCGGCGTGATCATGCCAGCAAAGGCGGGTGAACGAACGAGGGATGAGTGCAAGGGCGGCGAATGAAGGGATGGCCAAAGGATGGTGCATGAAGGGATGCCTTTGTGGTGCAAGGACTTGCAGTTGAATTGAAGCAGCACAAACAACCACAAGCACAGAGTGTCAACATGGTCATTGTGGTGCGCAGAGCAACGACGCGACGCACGCAACAAACTCACGCAAAGTCGAAGTAGTACACTTTGAGCTGCTTCATGTAGCGCTCAAAGGTGGCGGCGTCCTCCTTCTCAATGGCCCAGAAGGCGCCAATTTCCAGGGAGTCACGCGCAAGCACGAGCTCCTTCACCTTGACCTCCTCATCTTCAGACGGGAACAGCGAGATCTCCGTCAGCGCAATCTGATTCCGTGTGTGCGTGTGTTGTTGTTGTTGTTGTTGTTGTTGTTGTTGTTGTTGTTGTTGTTGTTGTTGTTGTTGTTGTTGTTGTTGTTGTTGTTGTTGTTTGGTTAGTGATAGCGAAGGACGGCAAAGATGAGCAGTAAGCGTTTGTTTGACGCACGCACACACGAAGACACAATGGACACACATGCACACCAACACACACACACACACACACACAAATGCACACCAACACACACACAAATGCACACACCTTCATTTGTGTGAGGAGACTCTGACACTCGTCGAGCTTGCGTGCGCGCCACGCCTCGCGCAGCTTCTCATACACGGCCTGAGCCTTTTCAGCCATGGCTGGAACTGTGGTGTGTGTGAGTGAGTGTGTGGCGACGGAGCGAAGGGGAGGTGGAGGACGTGGATGAGGAAGACAGCGAGCAGTGGTGGTGGTGGTGTCGACAGTTGATGGTTTGGTTGGTTGATGAACAACGGAAAGAAGTGAAGAAATGGAGAGGCGACACGACACACAAAAAGATAGCAGGGCGATGGACGGCGTTGAGGAACGATTGCAAGCACTGCGCTTGGCAGAGGTTGTTTGTGTGTGTGTGTGTGTGTGTGTGTGTGTGTGTGTGTGTGTGTGTGTGTGTGTGTGTGTGTGTGTGTGGTGCATGGCAGCACCGCAGCTCACGAACCTCTTTTGCACCTACACAGGAATGCTTTGAAGGAACACAAACCGCACTGGATCGAAAGGATTACGAGCAGGTGTGTGTATGTGTGTGTGCGTATGTGTGCACGCTCGTTGGTTTGATCCCCGCAGGCATTGATCTCCATTCCGTTCTCACAACCCCAACGCAACATTGCATGTCTTTATGCACTAGGCTGCCGTGTATCTGCACAGATACCTGAGTTTGAGCACAGACGCCATTGCAGCCAACCCGGACCGGCAGCTGGACCGCGCCCGCGTGCATTTGCTCGAGCACTTGCGGCAGCAGTGCTCTGATGCCAGGCAGAACGACGACGAGGCAGAATTCAAGAAGTGTGTCCATGTGTGCGTGTGTGCGTGTGTGTGTGTGTGTGTGCGTGTGTGCGCGCGTGTGTGTGTGTGTGTGTGTGTGTGTGTGTGTGTGTGTGTGTGTGTGTGTGTGTGTGTGTGTGTATCTGTGCGTGTGTGTGTGTATGCGTGAGTGTGTGTGTGTGTGCGATATAGGTTGTGTCCAGGATCATAGGTTGCACATGCACACAATATGCCAATTCCAGTAACAGTTTTGAGTGTCGCCCTCACGTCCAATCCTACGTCACCATCGCCCGTCCATCTTTTCGGTCTGCAGGTGGCTGAAGTACTTCCCAATGATTCACGCACACGACGAAGGACTGCAGCAAGTGAAGGAGTTTCTCCAGCAGAGGGTACGTCGTGCCGTGTCAAGGCTTTGCGTGAGTGAGCTGTTTGATTCGCTGACGCCACATGCACGCACACGCGTACGTACACGCGCACTGGTAACCTCTGTCTGTCGCTCATGTACTTGCTTGGGTGTTCAGATATCCACGCAGCCAGCGGCAGCGAGTGAGGAGGAGACTGACACAGGTGAGCAGGCATGCATCATGGCCAATCTGTCGTGCTGTAACGTTGTCTCATCGCAATCGACAGTACTCACCTCGTTGCGTTCTGCTGTGATGCCGTGTTGACGTGTTTTGCCCTGGTTCATTGCATCGAGCAGAGAGCGACACGCAGTTTGTGAACCGGATCAAGCGGCTGCTGAACAGGGTCGCTGAGGAGATTGAGGGCTTTCTCGCGAGCATCGACACACACTTTGGTCTGCTCGTGGCGCGTGTGCGTGTGTGTGTGTGTTTGTGTGTATGGATATTTGTGCGTGCGTGCATGTGTGTTTGTTTGTGTATTTGGACATTTGTGTGTGTTTGTTTGTTTGTGTATTTGGATATTTGTGTGTGTGTGTGTGTGTGTGTGTGTGTGTGGGTGTGTGTGTGTGTGTGTGTGTACGTGTGTAATCATTCATGTGTGTGGGTGTGTGTGCCATGCATTCATTTACACACATGTGCGCGTTTGTGTTTGCCCTCTCTATCACTGCCTCACGCCTCATCGTGCAACATGCTGCAACACGTCACGCCCTGCGTCTCCAAGGCCCCGGCTACACGTTCCAGCTGCTGTCGGAGCTGCAGCTGTCCATCGACGCGTGCGCACTGGCGATTGTCGACGAGTTTGTCAGCTACCGGCAGCTGGAGGAAAAGGTGCGGGCGACCCTGCTGCTGATGCTGCGGTGGGGGAGGAATAGTTGAGGAGGAACACACTCACATACACACATACACATCCACATATCTACACACACACACACACATACACACACTCACAAACACACATACGCAAACATACTCACATACACACACACGTTCGCCGCCTCACGTTGTGGACGATCCCAGGCCCAAACGGCGGAGGAAGACGTTGATCCGCAGTTGGTTGACACGATAGCATCTGAGCTGGCGTTTGTCATCCAGCCCCTCGCCCTCTTCATGCGATTCGTCGACCTGCGAGCAGAGGTCCGCCCGCCGTGCGCATGTGCTTGCATTTGTGTCCGTGTGCGTGTGTGTGCATATGTGTGTGTGTGTGTGTCCATGTGTTTGTCTATGTGTGTAAATGGGCGTGTTTGGTTATGTGTGTGTGTGTGGTTGACGCTGTTCGCCGCGTGACGAAATTTGTGTTTGCGTTTGCTTCTGCCTCTTTTCGACCATCAGACGGACGTGCAGGCGTACATGGAGGCAGAGAGCAAAGGTCCGATCATATATGCTGTCTTGATTCGTGTGATGGCACCCGCTTGTTTGCACACTCACGTGAACTTTGCACACAGCCACACACACATGCACACACACACACATGCACACACACACAGATACCGTTGTGCGCGCACGTATTTTCAAACACACACACACACACACACACACACACACACACACACACACACACACACACACACACACACACACACAACAGGAGAGGCGACCGCGCGGTTTCCGGACGGAAGTGCCAGTGCCGGAAACATTCGCCGCTCCAGCAAATTGAGTCGTCGCACAGATGAACTAAACGCATTCTATGTCGTCCTCGAACAGAAGTTCCTTAAGAGCAGCGTCAACATGGTGGGTGGTGTGTGGATACACATGAACAACTGCGTGCGTGAGTGCATGCGTGAGCATGTGTGTGCGTGTGTGTGAGCATATGTGTGTGTGTGTGTGTGTGTGAGCATATGTGTGTGTGTGTGTGTGAGCATATGTGTGTGTGTGTGTGTCCATTCAACTGCGGGACGCCCTCATCATCGTCATCCACCCCCAACAGGCGCTGTGTGAGGATGAGCTCGACACGTCCCAGGAGTTTCCAATCACAAAAGCCGTCGAAGACGTTCTCTTCATCTGTCAAAAGTGCACCAGGTGCGTTCTGTGTGTGTGTGTGTGCACGTATCTGCACAAGCGCCAGCTGCTGCATGTTCGTCTTGCCCATCATCTCTGACCACACAAGTCCACCCCTCACGTGATGCGCGCTTGCGTGTCCCTGTGCAGGCGCGCGTTCTTGACTGTGAGTGAAGTCACCACAAGTTCAACCCTCAACCATGTTGGGTAAGGATGCATCAGCTCGTGCCTGCACGCACGCACTGTATCGCGCCACTACATAACCCTTTCGGGTCTGCATCAGACCTCACAACACACGATCCCCGCGCCCTCACTCTCCACCATCGTCTTTACATCCTCTCTTCCACCACCACATCCATCACCAGCACGTGCATGATTGAGGACCTGCTCTCCTATCTTGAACAGCGAATGCTCAACGCCGCAAACAAGAAGTGCGTGTGACAGACATGCTGAGAGCGAGAGAGACAGAGAGAGAGAGAGAGAGAAAGTGTGTGTATGTGTGCTTTGTATGTGTGTTGTGCCGTTGCACACGACCGTGTTTACACCTCCGACCAACACCTCACAATGTGTGTGTGCAGGGTGGATGCCAAGTCGTGGCAGGGCCAGCTCCAGCGCGGCCTCTCGTTGGCCACGCGCGGGGCGGCCGGCGACGATGGCGAGGACGAACACAACATCGCCGCCCTCCCACGACACGTCAGTTGCTGGGGGACCGTGGCTTGCTGTGGCACAGGGAACAGGGGGGCGCTTGGCATGTGCGTGCCTGATGCCTTGCGACATGCACACATTCGCTCTCAACTTGTGACACACACGCACACACACACACACACACACACACACACCCCGCCACCACCATGATCACCACCACCACCATGACCACCACAGGTTTGGGTGAATGATCTGCAGCTGTTCCTCGAACTCGTCCCAAAGTACAAATCCGCGACCGCCGTGAGTGGCACTGATACCCGTGCTCCTTGAACGTGGACGGCGCTGTGATGCGGTGTGCACGTGCTTGCCTGCATGGCTAATTCTTCCTCGCTCATCCCACCAAGCCTCCTGTGCTCTCCACACCTTTCCTCCCTCGCAACTCACCGCTGCTGTATTCGGCCTGCGCTTCGTGCAGGCGGCAAATGAGCGGCTGGCGACGCGATGGAGCTCACAGGAGCACAACAAGCTGATGGTAGTGTCGTGATGTGCGCACAGTCTTCATTGTGCCTGCAGTGATCCTTGTGTATGACCACGCTGCACACTTCATTTGTGCTGCCCACCCAACACTCCATATCCCACCACGAGCACACAAGAATTGTCGTTCGTTTTGGTTGAATTTTGTCTTCTCACCGCTTGGCCGTGTGCTCCGTGTGCTGTGACCAGACGGTGATTGAGAACAACGTGCAGGAGGCTGTTGAAGTGGCACAGCGCTATCGTGACGTGAGTCAATGTTGAGCTTCTCTGATGTGACATGTGTTGGCACAGAGCACACACACACATACGCACACACGCGCGCGCACACACACTCACACACACGCACACACGCGCGCGCACACACACTCACACACTCACACACTCACACACTCACACACTCACACACACACACACACACACTCACACACTCACACACACCACCACCACCACCACCTCCACCACTACCATACAGGTTGGCGTGGACAAGTTGGCGAGTAGCAGCGTGTCTTCGAAGCTGAAGGGGCTCATCAACCTCCTCCCTTACGCGGACTTTGACTTGTCAGAGGTGAGCGGGCTGTGCCTGCAAGCATTGCAGTGAAGGTTGGGAATGGACAAAAGGACAAGTCATGCAAGTGCTGTGGGTGCTGAGATTGCAATCTCACGCAGTTCTTACACGCTGTGTGTCGCGTCTGCCCGTGCACTGGTGACGCAGGCGGCGTTTGATGACATGGACGACACGACGGAAGGCATGTACACCCTCATTGCAATGATTGAAGCAACAGTTGAAGAGCACAAGGTGATGAACAATGGCGGTGTCACGGGCTGCTGCTGTGGTGTTGCTTGGCGCGTCATGTGGCTATGTGTTGCAAAGCGTGAGCGCTTGGGGACACAAGTCGTTCACTTGATTCATCACATGTGTGTGTGTGTGTGTGCAGGGCGTGTTGCTGCCTGGTGCATTTAGCGCGTGGGCAATTGCGTTCACAGAGAAGATTGCATCAGCGCTGGAGACCAAGATCATCGGAGGGAAATACAACTTGGTATGTGTGTGTGTGTGTGTGTGTGTGTGTGTGTGTGTGTGTGTGTGTGTGTGTGTGTGTGTGTGTGTGTGTGTGTGTGTGTGTGTGTGTGTGTGTTTGTGTCGCAGACGCATTTTGTGTTCATGCACGGGTGTACGTGTCGACGTTGCCGGAGAGGCTGGTCCAGCTGATTGCAATTCATGCGCTGCATTGCACCACCTTATCCCTCCGCCTTGCACTGTTTCCCGTGTGGCAGCTCGGTGGCCTGCAGTTGGAGAAGGACATGACGGAGCTGTCGACCCGCGTGTCGGATGCGGTGATGTGGCCCGTGACAGACCGCTTCCATCGCATCAACCGCATGTGTCTGCTCCTCACGCTCGACCGCGTGCACGCCGTGTACGACTACTACGATGCTGGTGCTGCCAACTGGAACCTCTCCCCAGATGAGGTTGTCTCCATCCTCACGCGAAGGTCAGCAGCATGCGGTTGTCTGTGTCTGTGTGTGTGTGTGTGTGTGTGTGTGTGTGCGCGTGTGTGTGTGTGTGTGTGTGTGTGTGTGTGTCTCCGTCTGTGTGTGTGTGTGTGTGTCTGTCTGTATGTGTTTGTGTGACTGGAACTGCGTGAATGGTGTGAACGGTGTGAATTCTTGTCACTTCGTGTGTACACGCGCGTGTGTGCCTGTGTTTCTGTGCACCTGTGCGTGCACTTGCATGTGCACTGGGCCAGCTCACATGCCGCCACTCCCTGCCTCCTCCTCATGCATGGTGTGCAGAGTTGACTTTGATGCTGAGGACCTGGACAAGTTGAAGATATGAGAGATGACGATGAGCACGTGTGATTGTGTTGTTTTCATGCGATAACATAAACCATTCATTCCCCACACAAACACAAACATCACACTGCACAGCCACACACAATCAAGACAGCAACCATTGGATATGAGCGAGGGCAGTGAGGTTGCTGTGCGCGGGCTGCATGCGTCGCCATGTCTGGCAGCGCACAACGGCAGCGACCGCGTGCACCACATCTTGATTGACTTGCGAGCGAGCAAGCAGCGCATGTGCGACCTGTCCATGACGGCGACGCGCATGCGTGAGGCCCTGCAGGCCGTGGAGGGGCTGGCGCTTGACCACGTGCGCGACTGCAACTCCGACAACGCCGCCGTCGCCTTCCTGTGCAGCAACGCGGGCTCGTTCGGCACCGTGCGTGCACTGGCAACGGGCTTGTGCACAGTGGACATCTCGCTGAGCCTCACCGCCGGCGAGGAGCCCATCACAGAGGAGCAGGTGGCCGAGCTCAAGTCGACGCTGCAGCAGGTGGTGGACGAGACGTGCGGCGGCAGCGAGGCAAGCGCCGAGGCCAGCACCGCCACCAGCACGCGCAGCAGCAGCAACACGGTGCCCAGCAGCGCCCAGCATAACGAACCCAGCGAGGATAACGAAACCCAGACCAGCGTGTCTGCGAAGGTGTTCCCGCCCATTGTGCGCGGTGGTGCCTTTGACCCGTACGTGCCGTCTGCGGATGGCCTGCTCATCCAGTACGACTTTGACAAGACGGTCTTCCACGAGCAATCCCCATACCAGGTATGGCATATAGATGTGTGTGTATGTGTATAAGTGTGTGCGTGTGTGCATATGTGTGTGCGTGTGTGTATGTGTGTGTGTGTAAGTGTGTGTGTGTGTGTGTGTTAGCGTGTGTGTAAGTGTGTGCGCGTGTGTGTGTGTGTGTGTGTGTAAGTGTGTGTGTGTGTGTGTGTGTGTTGGGCACAACGCGTGTGCTGACACTTCGGTGTCGCCTGCACTTTGCCTTGCTGTTGCTGTCAAAGGACGTGAAGATCATGCACTCGCGTCAGTTTGGCAACATCCTTCTTCTGGACGACGACGTCAACCTCGGCGAGAGCGACATTGCCTACACCAAGGTTCGTGCGCGCATGTGTGTGTGTGTAGGTGTGTGTGTGTGTGTGCGTATGTGTGTGTGTGTGTGTGTGTGCGTGCGTGTGTGCGTGTGTGTGTGTGTAAGTGTGTGCGTGTGTGCGTGTGTGTGTGTGTGTGTGTGTGTGTGTGTGTGTGTGTGTGTGTGTGTGTGTGTGTGTGTGTGTGTGTGTGTGTGTGTGTGTGTGCATGACTTTAGTTGATTGTCGCGGCAGTGGGTGCAGTCAGCAAGCACGTGCTCACAAGCTGACACACCTGCTGCTCGCGTATCTTCCGTTTGCAGGCCATCATGGGCTCGGGCAGTATCGACTACACGGGCAAGGACGTCCTCATCTTGGGTACGACCATGCCATGCGACCTGCCAACTCATAACGCACACCTCTAGCCACTGCGCGCCTGCTTACTTATGAGTCCCTGCGCCTCATGAACACCGTTCGCTGCACAGGCGGTGGCGACGGCGGCATTCTGCGGGAGATTGTGAAGCTCAACCCCAAGATGGTGACCATGGTCGAGATTGACCAGGTGCGTATGCGCGCGCGCGCGTGTGTGTGTGTGTGTGTGTGTGTGTGTGTGTGTGTGTGTGTGTGTGTGTGTGTGTGTGTGTGTGTGTGTGTGTGTGTGTGTGTGTGTGTGTGTTATGACATTGAAGCCACCATCAGGACTGAGAGAATGAGACACGTGTGTTTGCACCACACGTCCATATCCAGGTTGTGATTGACGCGGCCAAAGAGCATCTTCGCGGCATTTGCGGCGACGCCATGGACTCGCTCACAGGCGACAACTACGAGGTGTGTGCGTGCGTGCGTGCGTGTGTATGTGTGTGTGCGTGCGTGTGCCCGTGTGTCCACGTTTTACCCACTCACTCACTCACTCACTCACTCACTCACTCACTCACTCACTCACTCACTCACTCACTCACTCACTCACTCACTCACTCACTCACTCACTCACTCACTCACTCACTCACTCACTCACTCACTCACTCACTCACTCACTCACACAAACACACACACATTCGCTTTCTCTGTTCGTCCCTCTCAGGTGTTGGTCAAGGACTGCATTCCCGAGCTTGAGCGCTGGGGCAAAGAAGGTGCGCTGCGGTATTTGGCCTTTTTCCATTCGCTGCTCCCTCTGCCTCTCCTCCTCCTCCACCACAATTACACACTGTCCCTCACTACCACCACCACCATAACCACCACTCCCGTCACCACCTCAGGCCGGGCGTTTGACGTGATCATCAACGACCTGACTGCCATCCCCGTCACGCACTCTCCAAAGGGCTCTGACTGGGACTTCCTCAAGCTTGTGCTGCAGCTGTCCATGACGGTGCTGCGCCAAGGCGGGCGGTACCTGACGCAAGGCAACAGCTTCAACATGCCCCAGGCCCTTGCCATGTATGAGCAGCAGCTCACCACCCTCCCATGCAAGCTCAGCTTCACTAAGGTTGGCGCATGTGTGTATGTGTGTGTGTGTTTTGTTTTGCATGTGTGTGTGTGTGCGTGTTGTGTTGTGCTGTGCTGTGTTGTTGTTGCTGTGCCTGTGTGTGTGTGTGTCTGTGTGTGTGTGTGTGTGTGTGTGTGTGTGTGTGTGTGTGTGTGTGTGTGTGTGTGTGTGTGTGTGTGTGTGTGTGTGTTTGCGTACGGAAACGGTCAGAGATGGTGTCGGTGAAACTGCGGGCGCCGCTCCTCCCCCCCCCCACACACACCACGTGCCCTTGCAGGAAACTGTGACAGTGCCCAGCTACCACGAGCAGTGGGTGTTCTACAACGTGTTGGAGTGAGTGGGAGGGAGTAAATTGTGCAAGCTTGAGCAGACCAACGTAAGGAGCACTACTGGGATTGCATGGCATATCAAACATGCACATGCGTAACCACACCACCGAGACGCACCGCTCACAACGGGGTTTGTGTCCTTGAAGTTCTTCCACTGCGATTCCCAGCGTGACTCCTTGTGCATCACCACGCCGGTCGCATCCCTCCGCACGTGAACGAGAACACAGGATGTGTGAGTATGTGATGAAAGCAACGTCCAATAGGAGCGGCGGGAGCGCCAGGAACGCAAAGAAGCAGCCCACGTTCACGCTGGCGTGTTATGCAACACAGCGCACAGCGCACAGCACATGCGCACACCACACACACACACACACACACACACACATACACACACACACGCACACACACACACAACACAGCCCAACACAGCCCAACACAACACACAACACACACGACAGCACAACGAAAACACACTTGTTCTCTTCGATAGCCTTGGCAGGGCGTTCGATGGACGAGCGCCTGCGGTCTACAGGAGCTTGGTACGGCTTGGAGCGGTCGTAGTGGACGTTATCCTCGGTCACCTGTGACTTGAGGTGGTGGAACAGGTCGACCAGCTTGCGAATGGGCCCACGCAGCTCCTCCTTCTGCTCCTTCGCCCTGTCAGGAAAGGGAGAGGCAGGAAGGGGAATGCAAGGAAGTGTTTGAGTTCATGGGGTGAGAAAGATGACCTGGGTGGGCGAAGGTAGATGAAGCGTGGATGAAGCGTGAATGAAGCGTGGATGAAGCGTGGATGAAGCGTGGATGAAGCAGCATGAAGGAGGACGAAGGTGGATATGCAGCGACGTGCAGCGACGTGCACCATGCGCAAGGCAGGGCACCATACACTCACTCGCTGCCAGCGCCGGACGCCAATGACGACGCCTGCTGCTGCTGCTGCTGCTGCTGCTCTTCCTGGGGCTTCTGGCTCTCTTCCTTCTTATCCTTGGCTGCCTTCGCAGCGTGCTGAGCGGCGTCCTCGTCGTCGCCTTGCTTCTTGTCCCCAGTGGAGGCGAAGCGGACCGTGGATTGTGCACCTGCTATCCTCACCACACCTTGATGCGCAGCTGCCCTTGCCCTCGCAGCGTGCGCTGCGGACACAGAAACGGGCGCAAGTCGCCTCAGCGACAACCGTGACAGCACCATCGCGTGGGAAGCAGAAGCAGGAGTTTGTAGCCGTGGTGGGTGGCAGCGTGGTTGCTTTTTGTTGCGGGTGAATGTGCTGCTGTTCTTGCTGCTTGTTGCTTGTGTTGGCCGTGTGGCGATAAACAAACGAAAACATTCGCAAATTTTCACAGATGGACTGAATTCAGTCGGGTTACATGGCTGTGTGTGTGTGTGTGTGTGTGTGTGTGTGTGTGTGTGTGTGTGTGTGTGTGTGTGTGTGTGTGTGTGTGCATGTGTGTGTGTGTGTGTGTGTGTGTGTGTGTGTGTGTGTGTGTGTGTGTGTGTGGAGGTGTGTGTGGAGGTGTGTGTGGAGGTGTGTGTTGCGAGCAAGACACGTGTACAACCACAACTTTGTTGGGGCGTTGTATTGATTTGGTGGTTCAACTAACGAGGCGTCAATGAGCAACGATTAAACGAGCGTAACAAGCACTAGGAAAGAACGAGGGCGGTGAGCGAGGTGGGGAAGGGAAAGGAGGGAGTGAAAGCATGGGACAAACAGCGCACGCGTGTATGGGCAGGATGGGAAAGCAAACAAGCAGCGCAATCGGTGATGGCAGCGGAAATCAGACCAAACCAGCCATGGTGCTGCAGTTGCTGTTGTCATTGCAACCATGGGGGTGTACTTGTCCTCGTCGTTGGTTGGTTGGTTGGTTGGTTGGTTGGTTGGTTGTTGTTGTTGTTGTTGTTGTTGTTGTTGTTGTTGTTGTTGTTGTTGTTGTTGTTGTTGTTGTTGTTGTTGTTGTTGATTGTTGGTTGTTGGTTGTTGTTGTTGATTGTTGGTTGTTGTTGATTGTTGGTTGTTGTTGTTGTTGTTGTTGTTGTTGTTGTTGTTGTTGTTGTTGTTGATTGTTGTTGTTGTTGTTGTTGATTGTTGTTGTTGTTGTTGTTGTTGTTGTTGTTGTTGTTGTTGTTGTTGTTGTTGTTGTTGTTGTTGTTGTTGTTGTTGTTGTTGTTGTTGTTGTTGTTGTTGTTGTTGGTGTTGGCTGTTGGCTGTTGTTGCGACTAGAGGCTGTGGTCGTAGACGGGTCCGTTGACGCGAAGAATCCAATACGCAATGAGCCGGAAGCCAACCGCCATGGCCAGCAGCACGACGATGTTGACGCCAAGCGAGAGCTCGTCCAGGTTGAAGTAGTTGAGGACATCGCCACCAGCGGCAAAGCAGAGCGGCCCGCCATCGTCCATGGCCGTGCTGTTGGTGCCGTTGTTTGACATGGCGCACGACGGGTCCAGCGGCTGGCCATCAAACTCGTTGATCATGATGGCAGCAAAGCCGTACCTATGTGATGGCGGGAGAAACGCAGAAGTGATGTACAGTGGATGTGAGACGGCACGAGGAGGTGAGATGTAAGGTCACGAGAAACCTCGAGACAAACGACATCACGCCAACACACACACGCACAAAAACACGCACACACGCACAAAAACACGTACACACGCACAAAAACACACGCACACACGCACAAAAACACACGCACACACATACCTGCACACACATACCTGCACACACACACACGCACGGTCACGCACTTGAGGAAGGAGAGGTAGGAGAGCCATGAGAGCCAGCTCGGGATTTGGTTCACGCCAATAAAGTATCCGCCAAACAGCATGCTCGTCACGCTGGAAGATCAATGCGTGGTGGGTGTGAGGGCGCGAAATAGATGGTGAGTTGGAAGATGAGGGTGAAGGGGAAGAAGGGAAGAGGGTTAAACGAGTGGTGCGGAATTCACATTGGAGTGATAAAGCAGGTGAGATGGGTATGATTGGCACGCATATGAGTAAGCGAGGAAGGAAGCAAGCAGGTCAACTTGGTACATGACGCACATGAAGGCTGGAGCAATGGCGCCTGCTTGCTGAGGGTCGTCCGCAATCGCTGCCGGCAGGAACGCAAGGGAAGTTGAGGTGCGAGGGAGATGAGCAAAGGGAAAACAAATACTCTGCTCACGGGCGAGAAGAGGGGACAAGACAAACAGAAGCAAGGGTGGCGAGGGACGTGCACTGTGCAGAAGGCAGTGTTGCACGCATGCAGGCGCGTGCACAGGCAAACGAACAAACAAACAAACAAACAAACAAACAAACAAACAAACAAACAAACAAACAAACGAACAGGCGCACACACACACACACACATACACACACACACAAACAAACAAGTAAGTGCATACACACAGGCGCACACACAGACGCGCGCGCGCAGGCACACACACACACACACACACACACACACACACACACACACACACACACACACACACACACACACACACACACACACACACACACACACAAGCCGACCTGAGACGATGAGGGCCAAGCCTTCAGCCGTGAGGGAGACGCAGAAGACGATGACAACAAAGAGGAAAAAATGGTCCGCGCCATCTCGAAGACCGACCATGAAGTAGGTGATGACGGCAAACAGAAGATTCAGCAGGAACGTGCGCGGTAACTCGGCCACCGTCTTTGCCCAAAAATAGGCGCCGACGTGGTAGGACCGCGACGCACGCTCCTTCAACACCACAACGCGCTCAACAGGGAACACAAACAGGATGCCTGCGGTTGAAGAGTTGAGGGGATGGGTCATTCGAGCAAAGAGGGGAGGGGATGTAAGCGATGTGCGAGTGATATGTGAAGGCTTGGTCATGGATAGAAATGTGGTTGTCTTCGTCGCAAACAAGAGGTACCCACATAGCCACGAACACGCATCAAATACGGATAAGAACACACGCACACACACGACATACACACACGACATACACACACGACATACACACACACACACACCGAAGATGCTGCCAAAGGACTGGTTGACGACGACGAAGAAGAGGGCGCCGGCGATGGCCTGCACAGAGTTGCTGGAAATGCCGTCGCCCTCGTTCAGCCAGATCACCCCGAGGATGATGGAGAACAGCAGCGTCTGGCCAAGACTGGAGAAGTTGTTGATCTTGTCGCGCAGCGTGGCCCGGATGGACCGCTGCGTCAACAGCGCCACCTGCCGCCCAAAGCTCGTCGTGTACTTTGGCGGCGGCTTGCCAGCGCTGCCGCCCAGCTCGCTCTGGCGCGCCTGCTTGGTGAGGATATCGCTCACGTCCGTCACCACGGGGTGCTGCTGCTGGTAGGCCAAGAAACGGTCGCCGATGTAGTCGATGCGTTTCTGCGTCGTGCGCTGGGCTCGTGGTGAGCGCTGATCAAGCGAGATGAGGTCGAGAAAGTAGTCGGCCGGGTTGAACTCCTCAGGGCACTCGTACCCAATGCTGCCAAAGTAGCCAACCTGCCACGGTGACGTTGGTGGTGTTGATGATGGTGTTGGTGATGGTGTGTGTGATGGTGGTGGTGGTGAGAACGGGGTGTGTGTGTGTGTGTGTGTGTGTGTGTGTGCGTATGACGAGAGCACAAAGGGACAGCAAGTGAGGGACAGGGAGTGTGTGTATTTGTGATGCAGCAGAGCCAGGGTGGTGATGTCTTGTGGGTGCATATGACTCACAGCATCTGCTGCCGGTCCAAAGTACATGCTGCACCCCTCAGACAGGAGCATGAGCAGATCAAACATCTGGAAGATGGACGAGCGCGGCTGGTGTGTGTGTGTGTGTGTGTGTGTGTGTGTGTGTGTGTGTGTGTGTGTGTGTGTGTGTGTGTGTGTGTGTGTGTGTGTGTGTGTGTGTGTGTGTGTGTGTGTGTGTGTGAGTGCAGGCGAGGGTGTTGATGATGATGTGTCGAAACAAGGGTGAGCTCGTGCGGTTTGCACGACGTGGGCAAAGTCACAGCGCAGCGTCAGCACAACGGCATCACTCACGCAATGATGCACGCACGCATGCCCGTACCTGGTGGATGGTGGCGATGATGGTGCGGTTGCTCTTGGCGAGGGTGAGCAGTGTCTGCATGACGTTCTGTGCGTTGAACGAGTCGAGGCCTGTGGTTGGCTCATCCAAGAAGAGCAACCTGACAGCAACAGTAAGTGGCCAGTTGACGTGTTATGTCCCCGTGCAGGTGTGGTGCAGACGGAACCGAGGCACTGATGGCACGGATTGCACACACGCAAGCAAGTGTGCACAAACACGCACGCAGGTGTGCATGACACTTACACACACACACACACACACACACACACACACACACACACACACACACACACACACACACACACACACACACACACACACAGACACACACACATGCGTTCACGTACGAGGGGTTAGTGACCAGCTCTGTGCCGACGTTGAGGCGCTTCTTCTCACCGCCAGACACGCCGCGAATCAGCTCGTTGCCCACGTACGTGTCTGCGCACTTGGTCAACCCAAGCTCTGCAATGACACCGTCCACCTGCGCCAGCTTCGCCTCGCGTGACATATGCACCGGTAGCCGCAGCATGGCAGAGAGGGTGATGGTCTCGCGAACGGTGAGGGTGGGGAAGAAGCAATCCTGCTGCAACACATATGCGCTGATCTGCCGGAACGTGTTGAAGTTGCGCTTCTGCCCGTTGACCAGAATGGACCCGCCACTGCGTCCGTGTCCAGCTGCGGACAACCGCCCGGCCAGCATGTTCAGCAGCGTCGTCTTGCCTGAGTGCGTGTATGTGTGTGCGCGTGTGTGTGTGCGCGTGTGTTTGTGTGCGCGTGTGTTTGTGTGTGTGTGTGTGTGTGTGTGTGTGTGTGTGTGTGTGTGTGTTACAAGGTGAAAGGTGCGATCTCAGATCCCACACAGCAAGACACAGATCCCACACAGCAAGACACGGCCGCCAACCCCGCCCCAAATGCTCACCTGCACCCGAGGCGCCCATGATGGCGAGAACTTGGCCTGGTTTCACTTCGCCGTTCAGGCCCTTCAGGATCTGTTTCACACCCTAGGCAAGGCCACACAAGCAGGTCGACAACTCAATAAGTACGTGACGTGACGTGTGCCTGCAGGTAAGCTGCAAGTGTCCTGAGGTGCGACTGAGTAGATGCCAACGAACATGGCACAGGCAAACAACACCACCAACAAAGCAACTCTCGTCTGCTGCCTGTTGAACCTTACCTTATGCTCGCCTTTTGTCACATCCACTTCGTAGGTGACATCGGAGAACTGGAGCACAGTTGGGTGGCGCGTGGTCTCCGGCAGTGCAAACTGGCTCTCGCGGTGGTGTTCGCTTCCACCGTTGCTCTGCTGCTCGGCATCATCGGCCAGCGTGCCCAACACCCTCGGATCAAACACCAGCTCTGGGTCGCCTTGGAAGAACTTGTTGGCCACTCGCTGCTGCTTCGACTTCACCTGCGCCTGCTTATCGCTCAGTGATGTCGCCTCCCTTCCATGCACGCCGTTGCTGACAGCATCGCCATCATCACCATCGTCATCGACGACAGATGCGCCAGTCGGTGGCGAGAACGAGAAATCCACCACGCACTCTTCCCCACGCTGCGTGGAACGCGTTGACTGTGGGGAGGGTGCAGCAGCGTTCGGGCTCGTGGGCACCACCTCATCCACGTCGACGATGCTGCTCATGGTTGAATCGGGTGGGTGTTCCTTGGTTGGCGTGAGTGGTTCGGGAGGACACCAGCTCGTCTTTGCAAGCAAGTGCGTGCAACCGCGTGCCGTCGTTGGAGGAGCTGGTGATTGACACTCGTCATCTGATTCAATGGCAAAATAACCACGGCAGAGACACAAAAAAAATAAAGGCGAAAACCACGCCAGTTCTTCTTTTCCCTCTCTCTCTCTTGTGCACTGTGCACTGCAACCACCCTCACAACCTTGCCACTCTTCTGTTTCTCCCCTTCCCCCTCCCCTCCAACCAAAGCAACCAACCCCACTCCCCTCTTCCTCTCCCTGTTTGTCTCTCCCACTTCGACCATCTCCTCGATCGTCCCCTCTTCCTGGCACCTCGCCCCGCGCCACCAAGCCCTCAAGCCCTCAAGCCGACCGTCCGCACCACACGGATTGCCCACTGAGCGGTTGACCTCCAAGTCCAACCCCCCCCCCCCCCCACACCGCTCCACAGGCTCCACACACACACAGAGACACAGCCATGGCTGACCAGCGACTGACGCACGGCGTGTCCGTGGCAGCTGTGCGGCGGTTTCTGGGTGATCTGAAGCGCGAGTTCCCCGACACGTACACTGAGATGACCACGGAGGATGCCTGCAAGCAACTGGTTGTGCCACGCACGCGCCAGGACAACTGCGCCTACGTCGAGCAGCTGCGCAAGCAGTCGCCAGAGCACGTGAACAAGGCCACCGTCTTTGTGTCACACGCTTGGCGGTACAAGATCGCAGACGTGCTCAATGTCTTGCTGGAGTTTGCGGAGGAGCAAGCAAGGAAGGACGACGGCCAGCCGGTGTTCTTCTGGTTTGACCTCTTCATGAACAACCAAAACGCCAACGTCACGGCTAACCTCCCACAAGAGTGGTGTGTTGTGTGTGTGTGTGTGTGTGTGTGTGTGTGCGTTTTGCGCGTGCGTGTGTGTGTGTGAAACTCTTGTGCTCTTCAACAACCACTGCCACACGCACACAGACACGCACACTGTTCCCTCACAAAAGCTAGAACCCCTCCCCCTTCTTCCCTGTCCTCCTCTTTCCATCCTTTCCTCTCCCCCTTTTCCCTTTTGTCAACACCCAGGTGGAGCACGACGTTCAAGCAGTCGATTGCCAACATTGGCCATGTGCTGCTGGTGCTCATGCCGTGGCGAGACCCTGTTCCCTTGACACGCGCGTGGTGTTTGTGGGAGATCTTCTGTGGCATCAGCAACGAAGGCACAGAGGTCACCATCCAACTACCCAACAGCGAAGAACAGGCACTCGAAAACGCCATTCGCGACGACTATGAAGCCGTCACCGACACACTGGTGCGCGTGCAGGCACAGCGAGCCGACGCCTTTAACCCCCATGACAAACACATGATCTTCACGGCGATCGAGTCGTGGGCGGGTGGCTTCAGCGCAGTCAACCAGGCCGTGAAAGACCAGCTGCGCGCGTGGTGCCTGCAAAAGGCGGTGGGTGCCGTCGAAGCAATGCGGGCACGCGGCGAGGACAGCACTGATGCTTTCGCAAAGCTGCGTGGTGAGGTTGGAAGCGTGTTGTTGCAGTTTGGCGAGCACGACAAGGCCATTGCCTACTACGAGACAGCGCTGGCGGTTTACCTCCGCACTGAGGGGGAGAAGGGAGGGAACGTGGCGGCGTTGTACAACAACCTCGGCGCCGCCTACGCCGACAAGGGCGAGTACGACAGAGCCGTCCAGCTGTACGAGAAGGCGCTCGCCATCACGGTGGAGGCGTTGGGTGAGAAGCACCCGAGCACAGCCGACACCTACAACAACCTCGGCAACGCCTACTACAGCAAGGGCGACTACGACAAGGCAGTTGCGTTTTATGAGAAGGCCCTCGCCATCAGGGTGGAGACGCTGGGTGAGAAGCATCCGAGCACGGCACAGACGTACAACAACCTCGGTATCGCCTACCACAGCAAAGGCGACTACGACAAGGCGATTGCGTACCATGAGAAGGCCCTCGCCATCAAGGTGGAGACGTTGGGCGAACATCACCCGAACACAGCAACCACGTACAACAACCTCGGCGAAGCATACTACAGCAAAGGCGAGTACGACAGAGCCATTGGCTGCTACGAGAAGGCCCTCACCATCAAGGTGGACACAGTGGGAGAGAAGCACCCGAGTACAGCGAGCACCTACGGCAACCTCGGCAGCGTCTACCACAGCAAGGGCGACTACGACAAGGCCATCCAGCTGTATGAGAAGGACCTCGCCATCACGGTGGAAGCGTTGGGCGAGAAGCACCCGAGCGTAGCCACATCGTGCTTCAACATTGGCCTGCTGCACGACAAGCGCGGGGACAAGGAGCAGGCCTGCGTCTACGTCCAACAGGCGCTCAATGTTTTCGTGGTCATGCTTGGGCCAGACCACCCACACACACGCATGGCAGAGTGCGAACTGCAACGCATTCGCGGTGACGACGAGCCCGATGACGGCGGTGCACGCACGGCCGATTCCCTGGGCGAGGATGAGGAGAAGGACAAGGAGAACGACGAGCAGAAGCAGCAGGAGAAGCAGCAGGAAGGGAGCGGTGATGACCAAGTGCAAGCTGTGGCTGGCCAGCAAGATGCAGCAGACGAAGACGAGCCGCAGGAGCGTTCTCCACAACGGCCTCCGGCCGGCTGGTTGCGGAAGCGTGGGCGACGGAGGGCCGCCTTTCGCCCGTGCTGGTGCAAGCTTGACGACAACGGCCACTTCGCGTACGGCAAGTCGGCTTCAGGCACGGCCAAGCGACGCATCTCCCTTTCCAACGTGCTATCAGCTGAGCTCGCCCATGGTGACGAAGAGCTGCACGTTGCTGTTCCTGGCCGCACATTCGTCTTCCGCCTGCACGCGCGCTCTGACACCTCGCTCGCTGACTGGTGCACCGCCATCAACAGCCGCATCAACGCCACCACTTGACTGTGTGCTGTGCTGTGTGTGTGTGTGTGTGTGTGTGTGTGTGCGTGCTTGCTGGTTTGCCTCTTTGCTCCTGTCTTTCCTTTACGTGCTTGCCTTACTCTCTTCACGCAATCCAACCGGCTGACAAGCAACGAGCATATACCCTACCACGCCACACGTCAACCAAACAAGCAAGCAACAACCTACCACGCCACACGTCAACCAAACAGGTCTACTTCCCTCAACCCATCCACGCATCAGCTCCAGGGCGCGGCCGGTGGCACATGTCTCCATCAGCACGACAAAGAGCGGCGGCATCGGCAGCGGGTTCGGTTGATCAGTGTGCACGGCACCCAGCGGCCTTGTCGAAGGGCTGGGTCGCCAGAATGTACTCGCTGTCCGTCCCCGACCGTGCGGAACAGCACGTTGTCGCCGCAGGCCCACGCCCATCGGGAACGCCGGTGTGAGCGCGTGGATGCGCCCAACTCTCGTGCTGCACCTCCTCCACCGTCTCCTCCTCCGGGTTCAGGTCGCCCGTCCCCAGCGACAGGTCCCACCATACAAAGGGCTGCAGCGACATCAGGAACGTGAAGAGGTCTGCGTTCCGGCAGCGTGCTTCCGCAGTCTTGTCTCCACGTCGGTCTTTCTGCGCACTGTGCCCGCGAACACGGCGGCAATCCCCGACGGCAGCTGCAGCTTCGTCTCGAACGGCGCCTGCAGCGTCTTCTCGCTGACAACCACGTGCGTGTCCTTCGGACGAGAAGTTAGAGCACGCCACCCGCGTTTGGGGCACACCCGTCCGTCTGCGCAAACCACAATTGTGTTGCCTGCGCAAACCACAATCGTGTTGAGGGAGTTGTTGTGCTGGAACGTGCGCTTGGGGATCCCGGCGCACACGTGCCTGCCGGGGTCGGCGAGCGACCTGAACCCATACGGCTGTGGCGGCGGTGGGTCGATGGTGAGTCCGCCATCCCCGTTCACGCATCCCGATAGATGTGCTTGCTCTTGGTAGCTGTTGGAGCTGGCGGTGGGGGGGGGGGAGGAAACGACGCCACGATAGACAGGCAAATGACTGGGCGTGGACGTGGAGGCGTTGTGGCAACGGAGCATGTCAGCTGAACACTCTTGTCGACATAGATGAAGTGCAATGCCTGCAACAGCGAGGAGAGATGGTTGTCTGTTGGACAGCCTAGGAGACGGGTGAGTGGTGGATGAGGAGGAGCACGACAAGTCCACACGGGGAACTCAGGTGAACCGCAAACAAGGGTGTAGACAAGGGCGCAAACGCACGCACGCATGAACACAAACGCACCGTCGATGGAGATGTCTGCGGCGTTGGCAAGAGCGAGCCAGGTGTGGGTGACGGTGGTGGCAGCGATGGTGCCGATGCATTTCAGCTCTTCGTTCGATTGAGACAGCTGCCGTACACGGGGTGCAATGCAGAAGGAATGGTTGCGGTAGTGTTGGTAGTGTTGGTGGTGGTGTGAAAAGGGTGAGAGGCGCTCTTCATGGAAGGACATTATGTTGTCCAACACGCCTTCCCCAACGCACAAGTTCATGCACACACACACACACACACACACACACACACACACACACACACACACACACACACACACACACGCACACACACACACACACACACGCACACACACACACACACACACACACACACACACTCATTCAAACACACCATCCTCGTTCTCGGCGTGAATGAGGCCTGCGGCGGCGGTGCGCTGGCGGTCAAACATGAGCGTGGTCAGGACACAGAAGAGCTGCAGAATGTGGATGAAGTGCAGGGTGCTCAGGCAGTCCAGGGTGCCGTTCAACATGAGCGCAAACGGGTGCAGCAGCTTCGGGTCGTCTGTGGCCAGCGACAGCAGCAGCACAGGCGTGGCTGCGTCCACCTCCTGTGCCTGCCCCGTGCCAATGTGCGCCACCAGCGCCCCGACCACCTCCGGCCGTGCACTCGCAGTCGGAGTCGAGCGTGGGCGCCTGGCTTTGGAAGGTGCCAAACTCGCAAGTGCTCACGGCCATGCGTGGAAATGTACCCCCGAGGCAGCACAACGCGACACGGGCACGCAAGTGTCCTGGACGCACTTGCGGCAGAGGCGGTTGTGCTGGCGCGTGGGCTCGCAAAGCGAATCTCTTCCTCATCCGGACCGCACTGCGTGACGGGGCGGCATGACTCGGCCTGGCCGTTGGACGGGCTTGAAGGTGGCGCCAAGCTCGCACTGGCTGCACACGCGGTCGCTCGTGGGGGTGGGCTCAGCTGTCTCCTCCTCGCCGGCGTCGCACGTGGTGACGGGGAGACAGGGCACGCCCTGGCCAGACAGCCTTGTACGTGCCCTCCGGGCACTCGTCGCAGACGCGGTCGCTGATGAGCGTCATGGCCTGCACCTCCTCAACCCGGGCGCGCAGTCTGTGACGTCGTTGCACGGGGTGGCGGGGTGGGGTCGCTGTCGATGGTGGTGGGTACCCGCGCGGAGCCGTGGGAGCCCGCCTCCGTGTAGTGGCGAGAGGGACACATGTGGCAACCCGTGGAGCCGTCGCTGTCCGAGTCGATGGTGCAGGCCGGGCAGTCGCGGCACACGCGGTCCAAGGAGCAGCGGCTTGGCGCGGATACCTCTTCCTAGCCGCGCTCGCACTCCTGAATGGGCTCGCACTTGCTGCCGCCAATGGATGGGGAGAACTCCGTCACGCCGTTGCATGGCCGACAGCCGGCCGAATCGGCGTCGTAGACGAGGATGAAGCCAGCGCTGCACTCGCAGGTGTCTGTGCAGCCTGGGCAGGAGCGGCCTGCCTCGTAGGCGTCCATCTGGCGAATGGTGTTGCGGATGCCATCCTCGCCCTGGCCGGAGCAGCACACGTCAAGCACCACGTCGAACGACTCGTCCGTGGGCTCGGCGCACACCATCTCCTCAAACAGCTGCGTGATGAGGTTGTTGCAGGTGAGTGTGTCGCAGGAGCAGAGGCGGTCTGTGGTGAGCGTGGGCGGGATGGTCTCGATCAAGGGCTCCTCGCACACGCTGGTGGGGAAGCACGAGGCGCGGTCCGGCAGAGGTTGGTACTCCATGCCAAAGGGTGCAGCTCACGCACGCACGATCATGCACGGCGTTGCCAGAGACTGACTCCTTCTGGCCTGGCTTGCACTCGGTCCAGGGGGAAAACAGACAGCGTCGGAGGATGCGGAGCATGGGGTGGAGGCCCAGGTGGCCATGCCACACGTGGTGCATGGCACGCAGCGGTGGTCCTTGGCGTAGTAGCCAGTCGAGAGGGCAATGAGCAATGCACGACTGGTGAGGTTGCCGTCGCACAGGTTGATGCAATGGGTGGCGTTTGGTGGAGTGGCATTCAGCACACCCGTTGGCCGAGCTCATACTCGCCATCGGGGCACTTGCTGATGCAGCGGCCGTTACTGGAGGTGAGGCTTGGGTCTGCAGGCCGTGCACTCATCGATGCCTGGAGAGGGAGGGTGTGGGATGGAGGGGAGGATGGGGTGAGAGGCAAACACTGTTGTGAGGTGTTGAGGAAACAAACACTGCTTCATCATCTTCAAGGTCACAACACTGACAAGAGACATTGAGGACAAGCACACAAACACAAAGACACACAGACACACAGACACACACACGCACACACACACAGCCAGCATAAGTCAACATACCATTGGCCTGCGATGAAGCTATCTTTGAGGACCCGCCGCACGGCGTTGTGCACCGTGTCGATTGTTGTGCGGTCTTGCTGCACATCCTGTTCCAAGTGGCTGTTTGTGGTGCAGTATGTCTCCCCGAGCTTCATGTCCGCGCCGCGGTTCAGCGCCTTCGCGACAGCGTCGACGGGGTTGCGGGCGTGCTTGTTCGCGACAACCATGTTTGAAAATCGCACCGCAGTCAGTTCCAATCGTCACCATGTCACGCTTCCACTGCCTGCGCACGACGTCGTTGAACAGCATGTCGTTTGCGCACGGAGAGGGCACGCCGTTGATGCTGGCGTACGAGCACATGGCAGCGAGTGCCCGTGCTTGTACTGCACATGAGACACATGGCAGAGGGGAGCGGGATGAAGATGAGGAGGTGGGAGGTGAGGAAGATGGCACAGGTCTGGTGGCGTGGATGAACTGACAAGAAATGTTGATGGGAAGTACACGAGCCGACACACACACACACACACACACACACACACACACACACCCAAACACACACACACACACACACACACACACACACACACACCTCGGTGTCCCAGAGGTCAAAGGTGGAGATGTTCCCGTTGAATGCCATGCCGTTGTCTCGACCGAGTACGCGTCAAAGTGCTTGGGACCCCTAAACGCGATGGTGCGGTGACAGCAGTGTAAATGACACGATCCCCACCAAGTGTGCAAATGAAACAGCGTCGCTGACACGGTTGTGGGCAATTGCGTACACACATGTGTGAGTGTGGATGCGTGTTCGTACCTGCTGCCATTTTCTTGTACTTCTTGTCTGGGCCGTCCTGGCAGCCCGTCGCGTATGCAGCAGCGTACTCGCCGCTCAAGAAGGGGTCTCAGAGGTTGAGAGGGGTGCAGTGAATGTCAGGGGGGATGGGCCTGCAAAGGGAGTGTGTGTGTGTGTGTGAAGGGGTTGGTGGAATGCGTGTGACTGTTGTAGAGTGATCGCATGTGTGTGATATGTGCACCAGCATCAGCAACACGTGATGAAGGGGGCACCTGTGAGTCCCATCTTCTGCAAGACACCGCCACCTCTGTGCCAGTTGAGATTGTTGAAGGCGCGCATCTCCGTGGATGTGACCAGGAAGCGAAGAACCGGTGGGTGGGGGACGAGGAGGGAGGGAATGAATGACAGGAGCTTTGATCAAGGAGAAGACGACATAGCAGACGCAGGCACACACACACACACACACACACACACACACACACACACACACACACACACACACACACACACTCACCCTCGGTTGAAGGCTGGGCCAAGACCTGTGGGGCCAATGAAGGTGGTGGCACACTTGTCCTGGCTGTCTGATGCACCCAGAGGCAACGGCCGTGTTCGTCTCCACCAGATGCAGATACGGCGGGATGTCAAGCCTGCATCCATGCACACACACACACATGTGAGCATGAAGAGGGAGGTAGTGTTGCTGTGTGAGCAGTGGTGGTGGCGGTTGATGCCGTTGTGGCACGAAGAAGCACGGAGGATGAGGAAACACAACAAGACAGAGCCACGAGTCACTGCGTTGGCGCTGCATGTCCTTTCCCACCTCTTGACGCCATAGTCGAGGAAGGCGCATGGACTGGTGACGGGATCGGGGCCAATGAGACCGGCCTTCTCCTGAAGGCTGAGGCGTCCAATGAGGTCGTCGAGGCGGGCACCGATGGATAGACTCGTGTTGCACAACGGCAACTCCCTCGTCGCCGCAGACAGGCACGCATGGCCTGACGAGGCAAAATGCAACAGCAGTCACGTGTGAGCTGTGAGAGAGTGTGTGTGCGATTGTTGTGTGTGTGCGATTGTTGTGTGTGTGCGATTGTTGTGTGTGTGCGATTGTTGTGTGTTGTGTGTGTGTGTGTGTGTTGGGATTACCTGTGGGAACGGGTTTGCCGGAACAGTTTGCCCGGATGATGTTCATGCGATTGGCTGCTCCGCACATCTCGGTGGACGCGCCCGTGCACGGCTCGTTGCAGTCGAAGGAAGGCTGGACAAAAGTGTGTGTGTGAGTTTGGGGGGGGGGAGTGTGAATGCTGGTCGCATACATCAATGTGCAGCGCACACACACACACACACTTACACACACACACACACACACACACACACACACACACACACACACACACACACACACACACACACACACACACACACAACTGTGTTCAGCTTCCGATAATCCTGCGGTCGATCCCTGATGAGGTGGTGGAGATGATGCATAGACGCGTTGCGTTTGTGTTTGAGGAGTTCTTCAAGTCCCTCTCCACCCAAGTGCACACAGGTGAGGGAGCGAGTCATTGGGACAAGGAGTTGTCGGGTGAGTGTGGGGACGTTTGTGGTGTGGTGTGTGCGTTGCTCACTTGTTCTCGTGTCCGTTCAACCACCCTCACCACCTGCCAACTCTTGTGTCTCGTCTGTCCTCTTTGCTACTGTCAGCACTGGAGTCTGCCAGGATCAACCTGTTCAGCGGCGACAACGCGTGGCAGGTGTGTGTGTGTGTGTGTGTGTGTGTGTGTGTGTGTGTCGACGTGCGACGTGCGTGTTCTCTTCTCCATCCATCCACCCACACGCCATCACCACCTCTCATGTTCTTGTGTCTCCTTCCCTCTCCCTCCTCAACACGACTATCACCACCCTCATCCCTTGTTTCCCCTTCCTTCTTTCTGCTGTCGCCACACAGAGGGCCCTTGAGCCAGCAGCTGTCACCCCTAACCACCCCTGCTGTGGTGGGATGAACAGACGAGCCCTGCCATGTGATGACCATCCAGCCACGCTGTATGCGGCTGTGGAAACAGCAGCACCAACTCACACCACAAACAAGCGAGCGATGAGCAACGTGAGTGCGTCACTGCATGTGAATGTGCGTGTGTGTGCTGCGCACCGCACCAGTGTGCGTGTTTTGTGGTCGCTGTCTTTGCTGCTCCTGTTTCCCCTTGTTGTCCCACATCAATGTGCATGCATGTGTGTCGTGCGGCTGCCTGTTTTGCTTTGCATGGTGCTGTCTCACTCGTCGTTCTCACGCACAACTGCTTGCACACCTGCACATTCTCCACCTTGCAGCCGCTGCTCACCTTTCCCTCTCTTCCTCGCCCTTCCTGGCGGCCATCACAACAACAACAGCAGCACCAGCCAACACACCCTCCACCGTCGATGCAGCAGCAGCAGAGAATGCACCACCACCACCACTTGCAGCTAAACACATCCCCCAACCAGCCAACCAACCAACCCATCGCCCGCTGCTGCAGGCGGGAGCTGGCTGTTTGCTGCTGGGGAACAGGTGGCGACAGCACAAGTTGCATTTTCGGCAGCAGCAGCAGCAGAGGTGAGGGCGAGAAGAGAGGGAAAGGGAGGAGATGTGTGTTGGCTGGATGGCTGCATGGGATGAGGTAGGGTGGGATGCTGGGTGAGTGTGGTGTGATGTGGCTGGCTGGCTGGTGACATTGGATGGTGGTGTGTGGTGGTGGTGAGGAAGAGGGATGGATGAATGGATGGGGTGCAGCATGCCTTGTTCCCTCCCTTCTGTTTTTCTGTTGTCTCCCTCTTCCCTTTCTTCTTCACACACACATGCATGCACAACATCAGCAGTGGCAGTAGCAGTGTAGCTGCGCACATATCCATGCTCCCTCTTTCCCTCCCACTCGCTCACCATGCTGGTGCTCGCACACAAACACACTTACAGGCGATGCACACTTACAGGCAGCAGGATGAGGGAAATGTCGAGGATACTTGCCACGCGTGCCAGCTGCACTCGCCTCGCACATGGTATGTGGGTGGTGATGAGTGAGGGTTGATGGAGATGATGGTCACACACAAACACACACCGACACACGCACGCGCACACGTGGTGTGTGTGATGTCAATCACACTTTCTGCTGTGCTGACGTGATGGCTTGCTCTGTGCCTGTTGTGTTCTGTTCCCATCCACGTTGCCTGCAACCACACACACACACACACACATGCACAGGTGGTGAGGTACCAGCACACATCATGATGGCAATGATGGAAGCGGGCTCGCATGCCGGCTGCTGCTGCAACTCCCCCAATTCGGCGGCCGCTGCTGTGCTCATGCAGTGTTCCCATGCGTGAGCAAGGTAAGCCCATCATGGATACTTTGGTTGGCGTATGGTACATGTGTTGCTGCTGTTGCTGCTGTGGGTGTTTACTGTTGCTGCTGCTGTGTCTCGTGCACCAGTGTAGCTGTGCAGCTCACATGCCATGTGTGTGTGTGTGTGTGTGTGTGTGTGTGTGTGTGTGTGTGTGTGTGTGTGCAGGGGGGGGGGGCGACTGCCTGAGGACCGTTGGAGGATGATGGGCGGGTGCACACATGATGGGTTGGGAGGAGCAGCTGTGGACACACACGTCCATGGTCATGGTGGGCACATCCAACCACAGCGACGCAGTCATTGCGCAGGTGTGTGTGTGTCATGCAGTGCGGAGGGGGAAAGCAGAGGAGGGGGCAGGAAGGTGAAAAGCAGAGGAGGGTCAGGAAGGTGAACGCGTCTGCTGTGCTGACATGCCATACCTGTGCCTTGTGTGGGATGTTGGTTGCATGCGCACCAGGGCCACATCAGAGGAAGGGAAAGCCGCCGCCATGAACGACCCATCATCATCAACCCTTGCCCATTTCTCTTCTCTTCTACCTCAGCTCAGCTGTCACCATCGACCGCACAGCCGCCATCACACCCAGGTGACACCAGCCCTGATCTGGCGTGAGGCAGACATTGCACATGTCAGTCGCTCTCATGATGAGGTGAGCAATGTGCGTGTGTGTGCATGGTGGTGGTGGGGACAACATGCGCGCGTGTGGTTGTGTCAATGCGTGTGGTTGATGATGCTGGCGTGTGGCTGATGATGCTTCGCTGTCAACCTCACCCCTCCATTCTCTTCCTTCTTGTGTCTGTGCACACACGAATCACAGCGTTGAGGAGGCGCATGAAGCGGTGGAACCAACGACGATGACGATGACGAGTGATGAAGGTGAGAGGGCGACTGAGATGTGTGTGTGTGTGTGTTGGTTGACATGTTGTGTTCCCTTCTTCGCCTCCCACTTTCCTTGTCCGCTCTGTCCACTCATGTGTCTTTTGTTCCCCCTTTTTTTTGATTGATTTGGACACAGGGTCATGCATCCGCCTCCATCCAACCGACCGACCAAGCAGCCGAGCGAGCGAGCAAAGGACACGGCGTGGCAAGGGGCCATTTGTTTTCACCGTTTCCACCAGCAGCAACAGCAACAGCAACTGCTGATGCGTGGCTGCAATTTGGATGAACTGGCCCTCTGTCTATCGTCCATCTCCACCTGCTCCTCGTCGTCGTCATTGGTCACCGACAGCAGCGGCTGCGACCATGAATGTGGATGTGAGATGAATGGGGGGGGGGCGGTGGTGTGTGATGTGGGCGGTGTGTGATGTGTTGGGTGTGAACACCAGCATGTCGTATGTGTGTGATTGTGATGTGCTGGTTGGATGTCGTTGGGTCTGTTGGTGGTGGCAATGGATGTGGTTGTCGTTGCTAACCTGATTCTGTGACAACTCACCTCTTTCTCCACACGCACACGTACAGGGGGTGATGTGCGTCGATGTGCTGTTGCCTCACATGACGACGATGATGATGGTGGTGAGTGGTTTGTGGTGGATGTGGACGGCGCACGCACTTGCATGTGCATATGTGATGCTTGTAGTGGCGGTGGTGGTGGCGGCTGTGTTTGTGGACATGTGACATGTGCGTGCACGGGTGGTGATGTGGGTGATGTGAATGTAACAAAGGAGGTGGATGTGGTTTGTTTCTGCCATGCTGGCTCACTGCGTCGTGTCATTCTTGCTGATTTGTTGTTTGTGCTTGCGCATGTGTTCATGTGTGTGATTTGCACAGGACGATGGCCGTTCTCTTCCCAACCCCTCATGACACGACCAGGGCGATACACGCACACACAGCTGTGCGAGAAAAGAAGGCACGAGGTGAGACGTTGGGGCTGTGTGTGTGTGTGTGTGTGTGTGTGTGTGTGTGTGTGTGTGTGTGCGGTGAAGGGTGGACTGGTGGCAAACACATTCACACACGCACGCACACACGCACGCAAGCATGTACGCATGCATGCCAACACACCAGAGCAGTCATTGATTGTGGGGTGGTTGCACTGACGTGTGTCGCACATGAATCCATCACACAACTCAAATGTGCGTGTGCGTGTGTGCGTGGCTGCAGGCGGAGGTGTGCGGGGTTTCCCCAACCGAATCCCCTTCTTCTTTTTCCAACCAATCGCCTTTGCTCTGTGTCATCATCATCAGCCTTCCCCATGTGATGTGCAGCTGTTGAGGCGTGATTGAGACAGCGTCCAACACAGGTATTTCAGCAGTGGCGGATGTGGTGGATGTGGTGTGCCTGCTTGCCTGCTTGTTGGGTGCTTGGTTTGTTGTTCTTGTGTGTAGGTGATGCACCCCGCCCACATCATGCTGCATATTCCCATGCGTGGTCCCTTGTCCCCTCCTTTCCTGTCCTTACCATCACCGGTCATTGTTGTTCGTCTCTGGTTGGTTTCTTCTTGCCTCACAGGCACGCAGGGCAGGCTGGCTCGCTGCTGCTGGTGGCTGCTGTGATGATGGCCGTGCGTGTGCGTGTGCGCTGTGCACGGTGTTTGGGGCTGCACTGATGAAGACAAGGAAGGACACGGCCCGTGCCCACCACTCTTCCCCTGTCATCTCCTCTTTCTGCTCCATCAGCGATGACGATGGTGGTCGTGGCATGTGATTGCGCTTCCATTTTGCTTGGGCTTCGCTATGACACATCGGCCGGCTGGCTGGCTGGCTGCATCGAGCACAGGTGAGGATGATCGTTGGCGGTTGGTTGCTTGGTTGGTTGGGTTGTGTTGAGTGGTGGAAGCAGGGGAAGGATGGAAGTAACACGGTGATGGTGGTGGTGCGACGTGGGAGTGCAGAGCGAAAGGAGGGAGAGGGAAGGGAAGTGATAGGAGGGCGATGATGTTGGTTGGGGGATAGCGGTGTGTGTGCACATGCACGTGAATGGTGTGGTGGTGGTATCACATGACAGTGACACACATATCAGTGGCTCATTCCTTTTGCTTGCACCTGTGTGTGATTGTGTGGTTGTGATGATGACTGCAGCAGGCAACACACGGCAGTGGATGCTGGATTGGATTAGTTGGGTTTGACTGGCCATCGTGTCGTGTCGCCCATTTCTCTCCCTCTCCGTTGCTCATCTCAACCGAGGACACACAGCGATGTGCGTGTGTGCGTGTGTGTGTGCATGTGTGCATCGCCATCAACCACGCCGACTGCAACACGATGCACGAGGTGAGGGCACGCAATGGTGTGCGTGTTTTTGGTGGAAGGGGGTTGAGGGGAAGTGGGGAGGAAGGCATTCATCATGGCCATCATCACCACCACGGCTGTGTACCTGGTCATGTGACCGTGCATTGGGGGATGGAGATGAGGGGAGAGATATGTTGTCGTTGTGACGGTTGTGTTTTGCATTGCTGTGTATGGGTGTGCGTGGTGCGCTGTCTCACTCTGCAATGCCATGTGTGACACTGTGTGTGACTGCAGATGTGCGTGTGTGTGCGCATATGTCAAGCAGATGCGTTGATCGACGACAAAGTGTGTGATTGTGTGTGTGATTGGGGTTGACCTTTATGTGCTTGTGCCATCACATACAACGCACAACACCAAGCACACATCATCACCATTGCACGCCCATGTGTCGTTGTCGTCGACTCACGCATGACATGCTCACATCCACCGCCCTTCCCTTGCTTCTTCTCCTTCCTCTCTGCTACTGCCGCCCCTTCCACCGTTTCCCACCACCCCCTTTTCACCCACACACAGAGAGGAACCCATCCACATCCAACACCCATGCCCACGCATCCAGGCATGACACGCCATGGCGAGCTGTGCCACCTCAACCAACCCAACTCCACCCAGGCCAAGGAAAGGAAGAGGAAGGAGGGAAAGCAAGGACACAAGACGTGGGGCTCCCAACAGATGTGTGTGCGTGTGTGTTGATTGACGGTGTTCTCCTTCTCCCCCCCCCCCTCCATCGCCTCGCCTCTTTCTTCCATGGCAATTTGGCTGGGCGGCTGTTGCCCCCTCCCCTTGTTTGTTTTCTCTTCCATCCCTTTGTGGCTGTTGGTTGTCTGTTGTGACTGTGAGAAGGAGGGGGAGGGAGGAGGGTGTGTGTGTGTGTGTGTGTATGTGTGTTGTGTCTGTACTGTTTCTTCTTCTTTTCCATCCCCCCTTTCTTCTCCCCTTCCCTTCCCAGCCTGCAAGGCCTGTGAGCCTGCGTAGCATTCACACACTCTACAGTGCTGTTCCTCCTTTCTCCTTCTCCTCCTCCTCCTTCTTGTCTCATTGAATACAACCAACCAAGCAAGCAAGCAAGTGCGCCCTTCAACAAGCAAACGCAGCAGTTGCTGCACAAACGCAGCAGTGGGCGATTATTTGTGGCATCTTCCACCAATCGCCCAAACACGAACCAACAAGACCAAGCAACAAGCAGCAGGCGAAACGAGAATCAAGGTGCGTGTGCGTGTGTGTGTTTGAGTGGAGGTGGTGGCTTGCATTGTTCGTGTGCGTGGCTGGCGCAGGGTTGGTGGAGAGGAGGGAGAGGGTGCGCGTTGTGACGGGCACTCACTGGCGGTCCTGTTGTGGGTGGTCTCGTTTGGTTCCATGGACTGTGTGGGGTGTGGTGGGTGATGATGTGATGGTGCACAGGTGCAAGCAGACAACACGCACAGCAGCGCCCACACCATGGATGTGTGCAGGGCCAAAGGCATGCAAGGCGTTGCCCACGGTCGGTGAGGCTGACATATGTGCTGCACAGGCCCATGGCACGCTGGCACTGTGAGTTTGGGCGAGTTCTGTCAATTGGTTTGACTGCTGTGGGGGTGCGTGTGATTTGTGTGCTGTGTGTGTTGATGGAGGGAGAGAGTGGGACGTGGCTGTGGTGGGTGTTGTGATCTCACACGCACTCCCTGCTGCTGTGGATGCATTTGGCTCACGCACAGAGAGAGAGAGAGAGAGAGTGGGCTGCATCGACCCACACACACACGTGTGAACACACACACGCGCGCGCGCGCTGGCAGGCAATCTGATGCCACCTCACGGTGCGTTGCACTTGCATGTGTACATGATTGTGACTGTGTGCATGTTGTTCATGCTGTGTCTGCTTGTGATTCACACTGTGTGTGTGTGTGTGGTGGCTGCCTGCTTCCCTCTGTCTCACACACACACACATGTGTGTGTGTGTGTGTGTTTGGATGGTGACACACGCACACACACAGACACAGTGGGTGGGTGTGCAGACACACATCCCCACACAGGCGGCCAAGGCAGGCAAGGCAGGGCACACTCTTCCTTCTCTCCCTGTCTCCCCCCTCTCCCTCTCCTGCTGCCATCACCGCTGCTGGTGCATGGATGGACCAGTGGATGCAAGGCGTGTTGGATGATGCTGGCTGGCTGATGTCCTTCCCTCGGTGCGTGTGTGTGTGTGTATGTGTGTGTGTTGCAGCACTGCTGCTGCTCTTGTTTCCCCCTGTTTGTGTTTGTTGTGTCTGTTGTGCGTTGCTGCTTCGCTGTGTCTGTCTGCGTGTGTGTGTGTGTTCACCACAACCACGTCGTGTGCGCCCATCACCGTCGTCTGTGCTCACACACCTCCCATCTCTCCCTTTCTTCTTCTTCTTCTACTCCCTTCCCTCTTCCCTCTTCGTCATCCCCACACACGCACGCGCACACACACACACACATGCGGACGCTTGTGCAGGGGAGCAGGCTGTTTGTTGGAACCCATGGCAAGGCACGCACAACCAAGCAAGGCCACACGAGCAAGCAAGGACACAGGACAAGCAAGCAAGACGTGGGGCTGCCATAGACCACGCACCTCGTTGGAGAAGGAGGGGAGCGTGAGCGGGTGGCGTTGCATTGTGTTGTGTTGTGTTGTTGTGTCGTGTTGTTGTTGACAGCGTGCACGTCTCTCTCCTTGTATCCCTCTGCCTTCCTCCCTCCCTTTCCCTTTCTCTCTCTCTCTCTCTGTTCTCTCTTGCCACAGCATGTACACTGCTGCTGCTGCTGTTGGCTGAAGGTGATGATGGCGGTTGATGGGGGGAGTGAAGCGGTGTGGCGCAGCATGGAGCTGTCGCTTGTTGTGTGTTGTGTGTTGTGTTTTGCTTGCAGTTGATATGGGATGCTTTCTCGCTTGTTCTTGACACGTGTGTCTGTCTGTGTGTGTGTGTGCTTGCTGCAGTGTTGCTGAAGTGAAGTGGAAACATACAATGCAACACGCATGTGCAGCCGTGTGTATCGTGTGGTACTGGTGGTGGTGTGGATGGTTGTTGGTGGTTGCAGTGAAGTCAACACAGTGTGTGCTGTTGTGATGTGAATTGGATTGGTGGTGAGCTGGGCGTGTGGCTGTGGAGTGGGTGTTGCACGCAGGTGAGGACAGCAGCAGCAGCAGTGAACGAGGAAGTGGGGGCAAGGATGAAGCGAGTGATGATTGCAGCGACTGGTGGTGGTGGTGAACAGGGCTGATGGTGGAGAAGGTGGCAGCGTGGGCTTGATGGGTTTATGATGTGTTGTAACACATGCAGCATGAAACATGAACGAGGCAGGAAAGGGTAAGGGAAGGGAAAGTCAGGGGAAGGAGTGGCGGCACAAAGTAGTGAACATGGACAAGGGAAGGTATGCAAGCACATGGAAACAACAGCAGCAGTGGCAAGAATTGAAACAGGACAGGAGGGGCTGGAACGCAGGTGAGATGGACAAACCAGGCTTGTGGTGACAAGGTGGTGACAGAAGGGGACGAAGGAAAGCACGAATGCACACAGTGGGTTGTGTCGTGTTGTGTGAAATGAAGTGAAGGATGTGTGATATTGTGTGGAGAGGTGCTGTGTGGTGGTGAGTGGATGGAAGAGAAAGAGAGCCAAGGGTGAATGAAGCATGTGGCAACAAGTGCAAAGCAACAATGCAACACATGGAATGTGGAAAAGCAAAGGGAAGAGAGAAGGGAGACAATGGGAGAAGGCGAGACACTGGGACAAAGCGGCACATGCACGGATGTGTGTGTGTGTGTTGTGTTGTGATCGTGGCGGTGGAGCAAAGGAAGCAGAAGCACGAAGATTGCAAGCAGAAGCACGCATGCATGTAGGGAGAAGGTAAAGCGGGAAGAGGAGAAGGCGATTGCAGCGAGCTCCTTACGCACCTGAACATATCGCTGCTGGAGGCAAGAGAGGAAGCGCAGGTGATGTTGGAGAGTGAATCCAAGAAGCGAGGCGATGCTGTCGAGTGAAGTGGAGTGAAGTGAAGTGTGGTAAGAGGGTGACAGAGCGGTGTGTGAGTGATGGTGTGGATTGATAAAGGGTCGATTGCACGTGTGTGCAGGCATGGTGGGTGATGTAGTGACACAGTGACGAGTGAGTGGAGGCGTGTTGTGAAGTGAACAAGGTGGAAGCAAGGGAAGTTGTGGGTACTTGCAAGCAACTCGCACAGAGCAACCAAACGTACTCACGCGTGTCTGCAGCGAGTAGGCGGATGTGGTGGAGTGAATCTAATGCAAGCAGGAAAAGTTGTGAGTGTTTGGGAGTGAGTAGACAGATTATAGTAGAGTGAATCCAATGGACGTAGGAAAAGTTGTGAGTGCTTGCGAGTGAGTAGACGAATGTAGTGGAGTGAATCAGGAGATGTTGTGAGTGCCTGCGAGTGAGTAGCTGTGGGTAGTGGAGTGAATTCAATGCAAGCAGGAGAAGCTACCAATGCTTGCGAGTAACACAGCAACAGTGCACAATCGCATGCAAGTGTCTGCAGTGAGCAGAGGAATCGTTGTGCGGTGAATCCAATGCAAGAAGAATAAGGTACGAGTGCTTGCAAGCAACACAGCAGCACTGCACAATCGCATGCAAGTGTGTCTGCAGTGAGCAGAGGATTACTACTCATTCAATCCACTTTAATCAGAAACACGTTCCCGTGCCTGGCGGCAACATCTACACACAAACGCATGCATACACACGTGCACACGTGTCCCTTGCGCTGCCTCTCGTCGTTCTCTGCCTGCTTGCTTGTCTCTTGTGCAATCACATGGAAACGAATCCATCCTCGCTGTTGTACTCCTCAGTTCCTCTGCTTTGCTCCTTCTTGCTTCAGCGAAGCGTGCCTGCAGGCAAGTAGAAGTGCGCACAGTGCAGTGTGCTCGCGCGCACGTGTGCCTGCAAGCCAGCCACGTGGTCTTGTCCCTGTTGCTGCAGCGCATGGCATGGTGCAGTGACGTTTGCTCGCTTGCTCAGTTGATCACCGGAGTAGGGAGACTGGCGCGGGGAAGTCAAAAAGGGGGTGCAGAAAAAGTGCGAGCATGTGATGAAAAAAGCCCCCAATACTGTCATGAGTAGTGTCTGAACACTGCGTCGCGATGCACCAGTGCAGCTGCAGCTGATGTGCAGCGTACGCAAGCGAAGCAAATTGCATGCATGCAAGCATTGGTTGGTCACGAGCCAGGGGAATCTGGGGTGTGAGCAATGTGAAAAATCTTGATGCAGTGAAGCTGTGCGCACCAGCTAGATCCAGTCACAAATCTAGATCTAGCAGATTCACTGAATCTAGATTGCGGTGCTTGCAGGCAAAGTGCACGAGGACAAAGCAGCGATTCAAACAGCTGCCGCTCGATGGATTGGCATACATGAGGGGAAGGATGCAAATGAGCAAGACAAAAAAAGGAAAAGAGAAGGCAAAGGCAAAGAGCCGCTGAGTAGAAGCGCAAGCAAGAGAGCAAGGCGAATGTCGCTAAGCAGGACTGCTTGCGGGCACGAAAAAGTCGCGTCTGCCCCCTTCCATACAACTTCTCTTTCTTCTTGGGTCTTGAATCTGCTGTGCCCCGGAGCGACCTCTCTCTTCGCTTTGGAGTGTTTCAAAATAGAAGAAAC